TCTCAACTCGTCATATTTCTTTTTACCTCAGTCATTCACAGCTCTGGTTTGACACATTGTAGCAACATGGCTGCTTTTTGATGTTGCCAAATTGTTGTTGAACATCACCAGCAAGTCCTGTTATCATCTTATTGAATGAAAACTTTGTTTAAAGAATCAAATGCACATGAGTCAAACTGTTACTAACTCTTCTGTTAGCTTAGCTTTTTGTTTCCAGTGGCACCCAACTTGACCACACCCCCTGTCTTCATGCCAAAGGAGGTAATTACACATGTATAACTTGTTAATGAAACTATAAATGTTACAACCTGTCTATGTGTTGGACCCAGACCAGTTAGTCTCTTTCCTTCACAGTGTGTCTTGTGTAACTGAGTGGATGTCTCATGTTGTGACCCAGGTCTTGGAACTCGTCTGCACACTCCACTCTTTGTGGTGGTGCGATGGGTGCTGCCACAGACTCTGTGGTGCTCCGGGGCGTTGACATGCTGGCCCCGGGCCGGCCTTCTCCCCGCTATGACGGGTTGTGGGGTATAAAGGGAGCCTACTGAACCAGTCGTTCACTGCCTTCATCCTCTAGGGCTAGTACCTCCCAGTCTTACCTGTCCCAGCCCTCCCTCCTACCCATGCCTTCATGCAGCACATCACTCACACACTCATGGTTTTGACGGGGTTTCGTGCTTCACATGGGGGCGTATGTAAGGCCACTCATGTGGGTTTGCTGGCTGTTCTGCACAACGGCCCCCACTTCCTTTTTTAATTACACTCGAGCCATCATGGTTTCCAACACACACACACAAATACAAATACAAATTGAGGTAACTGTGGTACTATAGTACTGTTCTTCTTGTAATTACGGCTCTTTATGGGGCATTAAATGCGGGGCCATTAGATTTGTCTGACAGATACAGGCCAGAAATAACAGGAAATAACAAAATGGTTAATTTCTTACAGGCAATACTACATTTGTTAAACAAGAGTCGTGCACAAAGGGTAAACCACTAAGAAGGACATAGTGATTGTCTTTTCAATATACTTTAAATCAATCAATAATGAATTCAGAAATACGACAAACATGAACATGTGCAGTAATAAAGCACATTGTCGTAAAATGCAATGTGAATGCTGTGAATGCCTGAAATGCTTAAACATATTTGAAATATTCAAAGCTGAACTTGCTGAATGACCTTATGTTATCAAAATATCAGCCAGCTTCA